CAGGCTTGTTCTTCAAGAGATCTTGGTTGAATACTGGGGGCTGGGGTTGGTGTTATTGCTCTTCGGCACGAATGCCGGAAGACACTTCAACGCCGGAAGATACCATATCATGGTGCTTCTGGAGGAACAGGGGGATCCAGCTGGGGCAAACTGCTATCACCAGCTGGGGGTCTTGGTTAGCTTGCTTGGTTGCTTGAATGGAGCCAAGGAGGAGGATTCTCMCCTTCCGAAGGGGGTGTCACCATGGTTCGGAAGTCAGAAGGAGCCTGTCAGGTAGGAATGTACGTAGGAATCAGTAGGAATTCTAGGTGATAATTTTCATAAGCGAAGTGTAATTTCGYGCGTTTKAAAAAATTCGATTTGAAAATTATGGTGTTGAAGTTGTTTCCGGCATCTGTGCCGGAGAGCAATAACAACAACCCCAGCCCCCAGCATTCAACCAAGACCTAGTGAAGAACAAGCCTGGAGTATATGCTATATCATACATCATACTCAGTTTTCAAGACAATTCCCCAGCATCTCCATGCAGTTCCAGTATTCTACAGACCAGAAGAAGATTCCGATCGCCATTGTTTTTGTTGTTTCCGACCTTCGTGCCGGAATGCAATAACAACAACCCCAGCCCCAGTATTCAACCAAGACCTAGTGCAGAACAACGCCTGGAATATATGCTCCATCATCCCCAGAGTTTAAAGCAGATTCCCCAGCATCTCCATGCAGTTCCTTTTCCAGTATTTTACAGACCAGATGAGTTTTCCGGTCAGGTTGTTGTTGCTTCYGATGTTCGTGCCGGAAAGCAATAACACCAACCCCAGCCCCCAGTATTCAACCAAGACCAATCCTTTGAAGAACAACGCCCGGAGTATATGCTACATCATACTTACAGAAGATTCCTAGCATCTCTATGCAGTTCCAGTATTTTACAGACCGGCAGAGTTTTCYGGTCTGGTTGTTGTTGTTTCGGATGTTCGTGCCGGAATCAATAACACCAACCCCAGCCCCCAGTATTCAACCAAGACATATTGAAGCACAACACCTGGAGTATATGCTGCATCATACTCAATTCTAAAGAAGATTCCTCACCAGCATCTCCATGCAGTTCCTACAGTATCCCAGTTTCTTTCCAGACCGGAAGTGTCTTCCGGTCATGTTGTTATTGTTGTTGATTCCGGCATTTGTGCCGGAATGGAACAACACCTACCCCAGTCCCCAGTATTCAACCAACACATATCGAAGAACAAAGCCTGGAGCGTATGCTACACCATACTCCGTTTCAAAGAAGATTCCCCAGCATCTCCATGCAGTTCCTTTTCCAGTATTTTRCAGACCAGAAGAGTTTTCCGGTCAGGTTGTTGTTGGTTCCGACATTCGTGCCGGAATATAATAACAACAACCCCACCCACTCTRCTATCAGTATCAACCCCGGTATTATTTCTCCAGCTGAGTGCAGTTGCCTCAGCTGGATCAATCCCCAGTTCTCAAGGACCAGAAGYYCCAGCAATGGTGCTTCCGGTCACGATTGTTGTTGTTTCCAACATTTGTGCCAGAATGCAATAACACCAACCCCAGCCCCCAGTATTCAACCAAGACCTAGTGAAGAACAAGCCTGGAGTATATGCTATATCATACATCATACTCAGTTTTCAAGACAACTCCCCATCATCTCCAYGCAGTTCCAGTTTTCGGACTGGAAGAGTTTTCCGGTCAAGTTGTTGTTGTTTCCAATGTTCGTGCTGGAATGCAATAACACCAACTCCAGCCCCCAGTATTCAATCAAGGACCACCAGCTGAGCGCTTTGCCTCAGCTGGATCCATCCCCAGTTCTCAAGGACTGGAAGCCCTCGTGTTTCCAATCACAATTGCTGTTGTTTCCGAGGAAGCCAACAGTACCAACCCCAGTATTCAACCAAGACTTTTGAAGAACAACGCTTGGAGTATATGCTACCTAMAWATTCAGTTACCAGATTTCCAGCATCTCCATGCAGTTCCTTTTCCAGTATTTTGCGGACAGGAATCTTCTTCCCGTCCCAACTTTGCTGTTGTTGTTTCTGGCATTCATGTCAGAATGCAACAACAACACCAGTTCAACTCCAGTTACTCCAGCTGAGCGCTTTGCCTCACCTGGATCCATCCCCAGTTCTCAAGGACTGGAAGCCCCAGTGCTTCCAGTCACGATTGTTGCTGTTCCTGCCCTTTGTTGTGGACAGAAACAGCAACACCCCCAGTATTTGACCTCCTGACCAGGGGTGACAGGGTTTTTGGGATTATTATCAGTTTCTTCTTCAAGAAGATACTCAAACAGCTGCTTCTTTGGGTGGGAGCAGCTGTAAATTGGCGAAAGAAGTGTGACATTTCCTTTTTTCATTTCTTTTTGGCTTTTCTTTTCTTTTTTTGATTTTTTTCTTTTTGACTCCATGTGTCCTTGACCACTGTGGTGTTGACTTGCCTTAATTGGCTTGGCAGTGTGCGTGGCACACATTTCCTTGATCACTGCATTTGAGCTGGCCTACAGGTTGGGGATTGAGGACCCCCAACCTACRGGCTTGGCAGTGCTCTTTGAAATGGTAATGGCATGGTTCTCATTCATCCAAACTGTGAACCAATTGCTTTTATGTCCTCTGAGTCTAGCCTTGGGCCGTCATTGGCCTAGTATCAGTGTGCATAGAACTTGGTCGTGCCTCCACAAAACCTCCTCGGAGGGAGGCGCCGCCCCTCRGAGCAGCTAGAASCATTCTTTYTAACGAAAGCTGTGGTTCTGGCCATATAGTGCCTTTTTTCTTTTTTTGCTATTGTTGGAAACAACTTCAAGACCAGAAGATACTTCCAGAAAAGCTGGGGATGGATCCAGCCACCCCTAGGGGCAGAGAGCTGGGATCAGGACAGGGTAGACAKTAGTAGTAAAGGTGGGGATCTTATCAAAGAGTTTGGTTCTTGTCTTTAATGGAGCTCATGGAGGTGGATTTTCCCCTTCGGAAGGGGGTGACACCATGGTGTTTGGTCAAGTATGTATCTATGTAGGAATCAGTAGCAAAGCTAGATGACAATTTCAGAACTGAAGTGTAACTTAGCTGTGCAAATGTGTGTTGTGAACAAATTGTTTTGAAAATTGCATGTCCTTCTCGTTGTACTGGTAGTAGTAGTAGTACAAATGTTTGAAACATTAATAGAACTATTGAAAAATGGTACCACTGACAGCATTGCTACGACTTGAAAATGGTACCGCCACTGACATTGCTTGTTGTATGGGATGGTTATATCTCATTGCGCAGGAGGGATCATCTGACTTGGCCGAAGAAATGAATGGTATTCTTGTACCTATTACTAGTCATCTTTTCACATACTACTGACAAGCTCAAAAATTCACCTGCACCGTTTACAGGCGTGTGCCAGCTGGTGATTGAACAAGAAACGAAGGAAGTTCATCAGCCAACTTAAAACCATTCTGAAACTAATGCTTGTCTTATACGTATCAACAATTTAAGACAGTGAAATCAACCACTATCCATTATTTATGTATGGGCACGTTCGAGTATTAACTCATAGGTAGATTCTCCCACGTTATCATACTTACTTTCAAAATTTGTGAGCGCCATGGCTTTGTCGGTCCGTTCAGTTGGCCCTTTCTTCGCAGAAGAAATGTATGGAAGAGCTAAATTACTACCCCCGTGCAGGCTGTCTTCGTCGCTGTGGCCAACATAAAAGGCATTCGCCATGACGATGGCTTGGGAAAATTCTTTCAAATAACCTTCCCAATTCGAGCGAATGACCATGGTTTGAATTCCAAGCTTCAAAATCAAGGGAAAACTTGGATGGGCATACCATCGCGAAGAGAGTCGCGCTTTAGTTGGATATGGGTTTGGATAGAGCATGTAGTGGTGTGAGATTTTCAAGCTATTGTCACCGCCACCCTTCTCATCTTCGGTCGTCCAGCCGTGYTCTATACAACACCTCCAAAAATCTACTAACTCAGCTCGAACGAGGTACGCATTATTGGAAAGTCGATGACAATAAGCCTCCCTTTTGTCCGTATGCGGACTGTTTTCGCAATTGCCCCCTTTCCTTTCGTCATTATTGCCACTTTGACCACCGCCTTGTCGATTATCTTTTGTTTTCGTCAAACGAGCAAGTGAACGATCCACTCCAATAACCAAGTGTTGTGGATAGATGCTGCTAGCTAGAAGCTTTGTCGATTTTCCCGTTCCACAGCCACTATCTAGAATGATACCTTCATAAYCATTCGATCCTTCCTCGGCAATCATTTCCACGAGGACKTCAAAAGCGCGTCGTGTGTGAGCAGCAGTAGGTTTTTTCTCCATGTAAACTTCCAATGAGCGGCACGCTTTGTAAACGGCTTTCTCCAATGTTTCTGCTTTTGTAGGTGAGCAAATGCTATCATCGATGGTATACTGCGTCGCAGTAGCAAAAGTCGACGTCGGGTTTGATTCTCCTGTTATTCCTATCGTCATCGCTGAAGTAGAAGATGTCGTTAATGTAGTCATAGACCCAACGATGAATGGATGCTTTCTCCGCGATGCTACATGAGCTTGTAAACTAAGTGGTGCGAAAGCCGCGGCCTTTCCCACTAGAGGATTACGAGCATTGCAAAATAGATAGGTGAAGAATGAAATCAATCGCATGTTTCCGCATCTCCTTCGTATAGTGTTGCGATGAAGGAGTAATCTTCTTCGATGCTCGATGCGGCAATCGCAACAACAATTATTAGAAAAACAATATGTATCTTTCGCCATTGCCTCTTGTCCTGATAGCATTACTTTGTAACTTGATGAAACCCAGACTCTGTGGATCTATCGAGGTGGAAGATAGTGCCATGATTTAATCAAATACATTCCAGAAAAAGATGCAGTACAGTAATCACTTTCTATCCTATCGGTTTAAACGGACGTACCTGG